CTGTGGTTTTCTCAGGGTATATGCCCAGTAGTGGGATTGCTGGATAATATGGTAATTCTATTTTTAGTTTTACAATGAACCTCCATACTCTTCTCCATAGTGGCTGTATCAGTTTACATTCCCACCAACAGTGCAAGAGGGTTCCCTTTTCTGCACACCCTCTCCAGCATTTGTTGTTTATAGATTTTCTGATGGTGCCCATTCTAACTGGTGTGAGGTGATACCTCATTGTAGTTTTGATTTGCATTTCTCTAATAATTAGGGATGTTGAGCAGCTTTTCTTGTGCTTCTTGGCCATCTGTATGTCTTCTTTGAGAAATGTCTATTTGGTGTTCTGCTAATTTTTGGATTCGGTTGTTTGTTTTTTTAATATCGAGCTGCATGAACTGTTTATATATTTTGGAGATTAATCCTTTGTCCGTTGATTCGTTTGCAAATATTTTCTCCCATACTGAGGGTTGTCTTTTCGTCTTGTTTATGGTTTCCTTTGCTGTGCAAAATCTTTGAAGTTTCATTAGGTCCCATTTGTTTATCTTTGTTTTTATTTCCATTACTCTAGGAGGTGGATCAAAAAAGATCTTGCTGTAATTTATGTCAAAGAGTGTTCTTCCTATGTTTTCCTCTAAGAGTTTTATAGTGTCCACTCTTACGTTTAGGTCTCTAATCCATTTTGAGTTTATTTTTGTGTATGGTGTTAAGGAGTGTTCTAATTTCATCCTTTTACATGTAGCTGTCCAGTTTTCCCAGCACCACTTATTGAAGAGACTGTCTTTTCTCCATTCTATATCCTTGCCTCCTTTGTCATAGATTAGTTGACCATAGGTGCATGGGTTTACCTCTGGGCTTTCTATCTTGTTCCATTGATCTATGTTTCTGTTTTTGTGCCGGTACCATATTGTCTTGATTACTGTAGCTTTGTAGTATAGTCTGAAGTCAGGGAGCCTGATTCCTCCAGCTCCATTTTTTTCCCTCAAGACTGCTTTGGCTATTCGGGGTCTTTTGTGTCTCCATACAAATTTTAAGATTTTTTGTTCTAGTTCTGTGAAAAATGCCATTGGTAATTTGATAGGGATTGCATTGAATCTGTAGATTGCTCTGGGTAGTATAGTCATTTTCACAATACTGATTCTTCCAATCCAAAAACATGGTATATCTCTCCATCTGTTGGTATCAGCTTTAATTTATTTCATCAGTATCTTATAGTTTTCTGCATACAGGTCTTTTGTCTCCCTAGGTAGGTTTATTACTAGGTATTTTATTCTTTCTGTTGCAGTGGTGAATGGGAGTGTTACCTTTATTTCTCTTTCAGATATTTCATCATTAGTGTATAGGAATGCAAGAGATTTCTGTGCATTAATTTTGTATCTTGCAACTTTACCAAATTCATTGATTAGCTCTAGTAATTTTCTGGTGGCATCTTTAGGATTCTCTATGTATAGTATCATGTCATCTGCAAACAGTGACCGTTTTACTTCTTCTTTTCCAATTTGTATTCATTTTATTTCTTTTTCTTCTCTGATTGCCGAGGCTAGGACTTCCAAAACTATGTTGAATCATAGCAGTGAGAGTGGACATCCTTGTCTTGTTCCTGATCTTAGAAGAAATGCTTTCAGTTTTTCACCATTGAGAATGATGTTTGCTGTGGGTTTGTCGTATATGGCCTTTATTATGTTGAGAGGGGTTCCCTCTATGCCCATTTTCTGGAGAATTTTTTTCATAAATGGGTGTTGAATTTTGTCAAAAGCTTTTTCAGCATCTATTGAGATGATCATGTGGTTTTTATTCTTCAATTTGTTAACATGGTGCATCACATTGATTGATTTGTGTATATTGAAGAATCCTTGCATCCCTGGGATAAATCCCACTTGATCATGGTGTATGATCCTTTTAATGTGCTGTTGGATTCTGTTTGCTAGTATTTTGTTGAGGATTTTTGAATCTATATTCATGAGTGATATTGGTCTGTAATTTTCTTTTTTTGTAGTATCTTTGTCTGGTTTTGGTATCAGGGTGATGGTGGCCTCAGAATGAGTTTGGGAGTGTTCCTTCCTCCACAATTTTTTGGAAGAGTTTGAGAAGAATGGGTGTTAGCTCTTCTCTAAATGTTTGATAGAATTCACCTGTGAAGCCATCTGGTCCTGGAGTTTTGTTTGTTGGAAGATTTTTAATCACACTTTCAATTTCATTACTTGTGATTGGTCTATTCATATTTTCTATTTCTTTCTGGTTCAGTCTTGGAAGGTTATACCTTTCTAAGAATTTGTCCATTTCTTCCAGGTTGTTCATTTTATTGGCATAGAGTTGCTTGTGGTAGTCTCTTAGGATGCTTTGTATTTCTGCGGTGTCTGTTGTAACTTCTCCTTTTTCATTTCATTTTTATTGATTTGAGTCCTCTCCCTCATTTTCTTGGTGAGTCTGGCTAATGATTTAACAATTTTGTTTATCTTCTCAAAGAACCAGCGTTTAGTTTTATTGATCTTTGCTATTGTTTTCTTTGTTTCTATTTCATTTATTTCTGCTCTGATCTTTATGATTTCTTTCCTTCTGCTAACTTTGGGTTTTGTTTGTTCTTCTTTCTCTAGTTCCTTTAGGTGTAAGGTTAGATTATTTATTTGAGATTTTTCTTGTTTCTTGAGGTAGGCTTGTATAGCTATAGACTTCCCTCTTAGAACTGCTTTTGCTGCATCCCATAGGTTTTGGATTGTTGTGTTTTCATTGTCATTTGTCTCTAGGTAGTTTTTGATTTCCTCTTTGATTTCTTCAGTAATCGCTTGCTTATTTAGTAACGTAGTGTTTAGCCTCCATGTGCTTGTGATTTTTACGTTTTTTCCCCTCTAATTCATTTCTAATCTCATAGCGTTGTGGTCAGAAAAGTTGCTTGATATGATTTCAGTTTTCTTAAATTTACTGAGGCTTGATTTGTGACCCAAGATGTGATCTATCCTGGGGAATATTCCGTGCGTACTTGGGAAGAAAGTTTAATCTACTGTTTTTGGATGGAATGTCCTATAAATATCAATTAAATCTATCTGGTCTATTGTGTCATTGAAAGCTTCTGTTTCCTTATTAACTTTTATTTTAGATCATCTGTCCACTGGTGTAAGTGAGGTGTTAAAGTCCCCCACTATTATTGTGTTACTGTCGATTTCCTCTTTTAGAGCTGTTAGCAGTTGCCTTATGTATTGAGGTGCTCCTATGTTGGGTGCATATATATTTATAATTGTTGTATCTTCTTCTTGGATTGATCCCTTGATCACTATGTAGTGTCCTTCCTTGTCTCTTGTAACATTCTTTATTTTGAAATCTATTTTATCTGATATGAGTATTGCTACTCCAGCTTTCTTTTGATTTCCATTTGCATGGAATATCTTTTTCCATTCCCTCACTTTCAGTCTGTATGTGTCACTAGGTCTGAAGTGGGTCTCTTGTAGACAACATATATATGGGTCTTGTTTTTGTATCCATTCAGCAAGCCTGCGTCTGTTGGTTGGAGCATTTAATCCAGTCACGTTTAAGGTAATTATCGATATGTATGTTCCTATGACCATTTTCTTAAATTTTTTTGGGTTTCTTTTTGTAGGTCCTTTTCTTCACTTGTGTTTCCCACGTAGAGAAGTTCCTTTAGCATTTGTTGTAGAGCTGGTTTGGTGGTGCTGAATTCTCTTAGCTTTTGCTTGTCTGTAAAGCTTTTGATTTCTCCATCGAATCTGAAAGAGATCCTTGGCAGGTAGAGTAATCTTGGTTGTAGGTTCTTCCCTTTCATCACTTTAACTATATCATGCCACTCCCTTCTGGCTTGTAGAGTTTCTGCTGAGAAATTAGCTTTTAACCTTATGTGAGTTCCCTCGTATGTTATGTGTCACTTTTCCCTTGCTGCTTTCAATAATTTTTCTTTGTCGTTAATTTTTGCCAATTTGATTACTATGTGTCTTGGCGTGTTTCTCCTTGGGTTTATCCTGTATGGGACTCGCTGTGCTTCCTGGACTTGGGTGGTATTTCCTTTCCCATGTTAAGGAAGTTTTCGACTATAATCTCTTCAATTATTTTCTCGGGTCCTTTCTCTCTCTCTTCTCCTTCTGGGACCCCTATAATGAGAATGTTGTTGCATTTAATGTTGTCCTAGAGGTCTCTTAGGCTCTCTTCATTTCTTTTCATTCTTTTTTCTTTATTCTGTTCCACAGCAGCGAATTCCATCCTTCTGTCTTCCAGGTCACTTATCTGTTCTTCTGCCTCAGTTATTCTGCTATTGTTTCCTTCTAGTGTAGTTTTCATTTCAGTTATTGTATTGTTCATATCTGTTTGTTTGTTCTTTAACTCTTGTAGGTCTTTGTTAAACATTTCTTGCATCTTCTCGATCTTTGCCTGCATTCTTTTTCCGAGGTCCTGGATCATCTTCACTAATATTATTCTGAATTGTTTTTCTGGAAGGCTGCCTAGCTCCACTTTATTTCATTGTTTTTCTGGGGTTTTATCTTGTTCCTTCATCTGGTACATACCCTCTGTCTTTTCATCTTGTCTATCTTTCTGTGAATTTAGTTTTGGTTCCACAGGCTGCAGGATTGTAGTTCTTCTTGCTTCTGCTGTCTGCCCTCTATATAACATTCTTAAAATGACTAAATTATAGAGATGGAGAACAGGTGAGTGACCACCAGAGGTTAGAGATAGTGGGGGGTGGGTGGCAGTAAGTATAACTGTAAAGAGGTAGCATGAAGTCACTGATTTAGAGCATACATTGTGTCCTGAAGGATGGCACCCCATCATTGCAAGGTACCCCTTCCACATTTGCACTTTAGCTGTTCCTTCAGTATGTCATTCCATTACTCTGTCATGCTAGCTGCTTCTGGGTTGTATGGCATTGACATAGCCAGTGGATCCCCTTCACATAGATGCTTTGCTCTAAAATGATGACTTCCTCTGTAAACGTCCAGTGGTAGAGTTGGCTTATACCCTGTGGGTAGGGGAGACAAACCCATATCTGAATATGTATCTCTTATTGTCAGAGTGAAGCACTTCCCCTTCCAGGATGACTGAAGTCCAATGTAATCAACCTGCCACCAAGTGACTGGTTGACCTGCTTGAAGGATGGTGCCATATCAGGGACATATCCTTGGTGACAGAGACTAGCAGGTTGGACATTCAACAGCAGCATGGGCAAGATCAGCCTTTGTAAGTGGGAGGCATGTTGTTGGTGCTATACAGTCTCCATCCCTACTGTGATTATTCACGAGACCGTTGTATTGTCACTGGCATGGCCAATGGTAGGGGCTGGCTGATGTCAAGTGGATTTTTAATGGTTCTTCCAGGGTGGGTATTAACATGAAATACTAAAGTCTCCATATTTCAAGCTTACTCCCATTTGTCCATCCACATCCCTCTGCCCTCTACCTCTTCTTTGTCCCTGACCTTCCCATCTGTTTCCTCCCAAACTTTTGATCAGCTGGCTATGCCATTTGCCACTGCCCATGGGTCTCTGTGAGTTCTAACCCCTGACCATTTCTCTTGTCACACAAAGTAGATGAGCAGATTCGCTGCCAGGCTCTGCTCATTGAGAGGATTTCCCCTCACCACTGTCTTCAGGTTCACCCATGAGTGTGAACAGTCATCTGTTTTTGGCTTATACTCACAACCAAACCAACCCATCTATGAACTGAACGTAGGCTTCTTTTCTCCTTTGTCATCTGGTCGTAAGGGATCCCCCCGACGTGGCCACATGTATGAGCTGATGGAGAAGCACTCTTCAGCTGCAGCAATTTCCAAAGAAGGCTGACAGCTGGCACCAGTCCCAGCAGCTGGGAGGAATGTCTTGAAGGAGAATCTGAAGGATGTACTGTAGTGTCCAACAAAAGTATCAACTACGGCTAAAGATATACCTACCCTATCACCCAGACATTCCTCTCTTAGGTAAACATGGAAAAGGAATGAGTGCATTTGTCCAACAGCAACAAAGAAAAATATAACAATTTTCATAGCAGCTTTATTCATAATAGCCCCAAGCCTGAAACAACACAGATGACCATGAACAGGAGAAAAGATAAATGAATCAGGAGTGTTGTCCTACAATGGAATATGAAACCACAATGTAAAAGAACACACTGCTGATAGGTACAATAACATGGATGAACCTTACAAACATTATGTTGAGTGAAAAAGCCAGAACCCAAAGAGTATAGACTGCCTGATTTCTTTTGTGTAGTTTATCAAGGACAGGCAGAACTCACTTATTGTGTTGGAAGTAAGAATACTTCTGGCAGAGGTTGGTGGGTGTTGCCTGGGAACTTTCTGGGATGGTGGAAATATTTTGTCTCTTGATCTGGAGGTTGGTTATGTTGAAATAGATACATGTATGTAAAAATTCATGAAGCTATGCGGGTGAGATTTATTTGTGTACTTTACACATTTCACTTTAACAAAATTTTATACCTCAATTTTAAAAAACTGCAAATAAGTAGCATCTGCAAGTGAAACAAGAAAATAATAGTGTGCAGTAAAAAAGATATACTATGTGGTTTCTTAATTTATGACACCTCTGTTTTGACTTTCTCAGCCGTTTTTTAATAGGCAAAGCCTCAGGGCATAAACACTATGTTAATCCCACTTTGCTATCAATAAATTACATAGTTACAGTGTTGTGAATTTACCTGATGTGATTCTTTTTGGGTCTTGGGGTTTCTGCTCAACTGTCCTCCATCTACAGCAGCATCTTCTCTCTGACCTTCCTGGAATAATTTCCATTTCTGGAGCAAACTGCATTCTACAAAATATAAACATGCTCCAGTTCCCTTCCCCGTACCTCTAAATCTTCTCCTGTGGCTGGTGTCCTGTGTCTTTTATATTAGAGGCATTTGATGTCACTATTCCTCAGCTATTTTCAATTACCCTGTCACTTCCCTTTCCTCATCCGGCAAGGCTTTCTGTGTGTGGATGATTTAGCAGGACTCAGTAATCAGGTATTTAAAGGGACCAGCTTCTTTTGCAACAAGACAAGTTTTTCTACACAAAATTAAGCCCAGTTAACACCATGATATGAGTTATGCACAGCCTTGTTCCCATGGTGAATATGTCAGGCAATGATTTATCTGTTGGGGGTAGGCAGGTGTGATGGGAGCATTCTATTCAAGTTATTTAACCATTTTCTTCATCTGTAAAATAGAGAAATAATGAGGGGTAATAGGATTGCTGTGGAAATTATGCCAGTAGATATAAAACACTAAAACAGTTCCTGACAACGGTGAGTACCTTAATGAGAATTCTGATCTGAACCACGATGCTCACTGAGCATGTGCAGAACACATCCATGGAAACCGGCAACAGCAGGAAAATGTCTCTTGTGTAAATAAATGCACCTCACTTGAGAAGGACGAGTCCCAAACAGGAAATGATCTCCTGTTGTTAACAGGCAAAACAGAGAGAATGATTTAAGTTGCATAGAGAGAATTTCTTTAAAGACTGAGCTGAATTAATTATTAAAGACGTACGTGATGTGTAGGCAGGATAATATCAAGGAGTTTTAAATTATTTACACTTTATTGCTGTCTGTCTGTGGGCATCTGACATGCCTCATCTTCTATTGGGGGATTCTGCAGAATGTTCTTAGCCCAGAATATTTCCTGATAATGCACCTCCCTGAGAAGATCTTGAAGCTTCTTACTCATTTAAAATAATCAGTGTCTTGAATTCCCTATTACCAAGATTCTGCTTTGGGGAATAGCTTCTTTCAGGTTGCAGATTGTACCTTCGATTTTAAGATGTGTGAGATGCAAGCACTGTTTGCAAGGGACATGTTAGTTCTGAATGTACAATCAACTCTCTACCGTTTCTGAAAATCTTGATATGGTGATAAAAACAATAGGAGGAAGGTTTCCCTTTTCAGATGCACCTTACTGCTTCTTCTACTTGGGTTATTTCCTGGTGCCTTGGAGTTCCAAATTGTCCGAATACGCCCATGTACTGTACTGTGGTAATAAAAGTTAACCAACTATTGTGTCTTACCTACACGTCTCCTGGGCCTGATGCATGTGTATGGGAAGGGAACTGAAAAGTTCTCATGGTACCAAGCTGCACAAATATGAGAAGAAGGTGTGTTTGTGAACACCTATGAAGAGAATTTTGAAAAGGGATGAGGGCTCAGTGACTAACCTGGGCTCTTTCTCATCTTTAAGTGTAAGTAGAGAATGACAGGCATAAAAGTCCTGTGCAAATAAGTTGTCATGGGGTCTCTTGAGCACCCCAGCTTCCCAACCTTGCTCTGCCTCCATCAGGATGACTGATTTTGGGGTCCCACCAAAGGCCAGGTGTCTTGGATAGGTTATGGAAAAATCCAATGCATCTATTATTTTTTACATCAATTTTCCCCAGGCGTGCAGAGCCCTGGCTGTAAGAAATAGCCTAAAGCTAGGATTTGGGGTGGATGTGGGGCAGTGGAGGTGGTAGAGAAGGAAACAGGAGGGTTAAAGTGGGTTTCACTTTGACCACTGTCTCCTGACAGAAAGGTTTCTACTCTAGGAATCTCTATGTCAACATGCTTACCTTGGTTTATATCCTTTGGATTAAGGAAGAAACTAGGAATTTGAGAGAGATGATGAAAAACCCTAATCAGGGGCCATCCATAGCACTTATTTACCTTCTTTTTGTAATCCTACCATCATCTCTGTGCACCTAACTTCTTGACTTTTGGGTCAGCTACAGTTGGGCTGATTGATTCTAATGGGGTCTTTGGGTTATTAGAAGATAAAAGAGGAGGGGGCAAAATCTCTCAGTCCTAATCCTCAGGTATGCCTGGTAAGGCTTGTGAATCCAAACACCATCTTCCTTCCCTTCAGGGGGTTTGAATAGCCAGGAAGCAGAAGAGTGGCTCTGTTTGGGCAGGTCTTGGCAATGCTCTGGAGGTGATGTGTCTATTCCCTGGAGTGGGGTGAGGACCAGAGGCTGTTAGCAACACGGCGAATTGAGGTGCTCCATCCGAGTTAGTTCTTGTTTTTGTTTCTTTTTTTTTTTGCGGTACGCGGGCCTCTCACTGCTGTGGCCTCTCCCGTTGCGGAGCACAGACTCCGGACGCGCAGGCTCAGCGGCCATGGCTCACGGGCCCAGTCGCTCCGCGGCGTGTGGTATCTTCCCGGACCGGGGCACGAATCCGTGTCCCCTGCATCGGCAGGCGGACACTCAACCACTGCGCCACCAGGGAAGCCCCGAGTTAGTTCTTATATCTCAGCTGCAGTCTTTTGTTCTGCATTAATTTCCAGGCTCTCGGGCAGATCTTTATTCAAATGAATTAATTCAGAAGAACAACCCCCGATTAATTAGTGTGGGTGATTTTAATGTTCCCCTAAATCAGAGTGGTGGCTCTCACTGTCCTTGTGCCTGCCCATGCTTGACCCCCGCAGCGCTGTAACCGGGTCCTGCCATTCCCCACCTTCTCCCTGTACTCTCCTCAGGTTTGGCTTGCATTCCAGATCCTCTGCATTTCTTTTCACAAGGTCTTTGACTGTTTCTAATTCTACATTCCAGACAATTCCTGACCTGCAGCTGCTGCTCTTTATGGGAGCTCTGGATGTGGCCTTGTCAGGGTAGAGGGCCTTGGCTCCTGTTGGCCAACAAGCTGGCTGATCCCTTAATGTGACTGAAGGTCTTTTCATTTTTAAATTTCAGTTTCCCCTCCCCTCAGAGACCTTAGGAAGTCTTCTGTATCTTTGCCCTTATTCTCAGATGGTGTGTTAAATCTGTAGAGGTGTTTTCTCTCTAAATCCCAGCCTTTTTCCTTTCCCCCATGCTAGGAGAAACCCTTTTTTCTTCAGAAAGAGGCCTTCTGGTTGCTTTCCCCAGCCCCTTCTTCCTTCCCTTAGTTGCTATCCACAGCATCCTTGAAGCTTATCTGCAAGTGTGTGGGTGGGTCTTCGGGGAAGGGACAGGCAAGAAGACCCAGGACTGAACAATGACCAGTCCTTGCTTAATGAGTGTGGCCCCAGGAGAAGGGGCTTGGCTAGGTGAGGCGGGAATGCATCCCTTCCCTGGCTTGTTTCTGTCTTGTCCAAAAACTGCAGCTCTGCATCCCATG